CCCGAATTCTCCAATTTTTTTTACAATCAAAAGAAGAGTGAAAAAAAAGGAAAAATTTTTCACGCTAGTAGGACACCAGGCGTGCGTGTGCCCCCTGTATCGAAAGATTCATGTTAGGTGAATAACCCTGGTAGCAATTCAAGAGAACATTGGAGTGAGGCGTCGGTTCAGTCTGTCTAAGTCTTTCTACAACAGACTCAAGAACTCGTCCTCTTGTAAATCAGAGCACCCGGAAAGCCGAGTACGCTGCCTTCAAAAAAGAGAGGACGTCTTGATGACCAGTACAACCAAGTAGGAGCATGTCTTGTCATATTCCTCGAAACACACATTAATCACTCCCTATTAACGACGACTTAGGTTTGCTGTGAGACACACTCGAGGGTCCTCGTCGGACGGTGAGGTGGCCCTAGTATTCTCTTTTTGCGAGACATACTAACCGACCAGAACACAGGCCTAACTCAAGAGAAGTCGACTCAATAGTTCACTCCGAAAAGATTATGAAGTGTGTGTGATCGGTCGTGTGTCCCCGGTCCTAACCCTCCTTTTCCGGGCCACCTAAGAACTCGTCTGTCCGGGGAATTACACGTTCGTCCATCAGCCGGCCTCGCCGCTGCTTTCATCACAATGAATTGTCTTTTGGGCTACGTAAAATACATAAAACCTGGTAATTCAAGTATATCATTTGTGAGTGTATGACTCGGAATCTCAAACGGATCTCGTCTTCAATGCTTCGTATATAAATACAGTAGAAATTACAATTGCTCAGTAACCTACGTTATTGGTAAGCCGGGTCTAACACGACTGAACGATGTGTACCTTATGTTGGTACCCGCATCCTTCGTAGGGAGTACACCCACTCTGGTAAATAGTCCCCCACACCCCCCGTGCCACCACCCTGGAGGAGGAGATCCCAAACCAGGCCGCCGTTCGAGGGGGCCCTTCTAAAAAAAATTTGACAACTTCAATTCGGTAGTCTAGACCACGGAACTGTCGTTTAACCCTGGATTTAGAGCCTAATCGTAGGAGAGTTGTCCTGGTATTACGTTGTCCTTGACATGTTGTCTAAACATGAAAAGAAAGTTGTTAAATACTAACTTGTCGTCACCTCCGTTTCACTGACGTGGGTTTTTGTATTTGGACTGATCGATTGATCGGATTTAGTGCATAGTCGTTACACCCGTGTCAGAAGAGGTGTGTTGGCGGCGCTGGATCACTCAGTCTGCAGTGAGGAGGAAAAGATAGATGCCATGGTCGGCATGTCGTGAGGGGGACTTGGGACAAAGGGACGGTGGGCGCGGGGAGGGGATACGTTCGGAGGGAGGACTTGGGTCCGAGCGATGTTCTATCGACATATGTGTCGCTGATATGTTTTTCCGGAAGTGGCGAACCTCGAACAAATAGGTAGACCATTCGTTGACGGTCGATCAAGAGAGTCAGTGAGTGACGACTAGCAAGTGACCTGTGGACGATGCCCCCGGACTACACACTTTCACTTTGATGAGAACTATCTGTCCAACCCTCCCCAATGATCATTTAGTCACGATGACTAATGACCAAGACTTTCATTACGGCTTATGTCAATAGGTCAATGCGCAGAATTTTTTCATTACATTAGTCTAATGAAACCTAGTTAAAGAAAAAGTAGTGTCTACCCGCGAACAAAACCACTATCCGATGTCCTCCGTGTTTTAGTTTCCTTGACTTGCACAAAATGAAAATTACCGAATAGTTCTCGTGTTACTGTATTGAGACTTTTGCTACATTGTTTATTATGTGAAAAACCCCTACGTGAGCCCTAACACTCCTCATCCTTGTGCCGTATCTTCCGCATCAGGGTAAGAGCAGGACGTCACACCGTCCGTTACTTAATTTTACAGAGCCTAAGTAAAAATTCCTGTACAGCAGGTCCCACATCTCGATATAACAAATTCGTCGGCCTAACCCGTTTTGTCCTCTCACACACGTGTCAGACGGAACTAGATACATGAAGTACAGACACTGTGAGTGTCATGACGAGGGTGTCGACAAATATCTTCGACTTTTGGAGGAAGTGTAAGTACTTTAAGAGACGCCGCCATATCCAAAAACACTGCGACACTAATAAGGCCCGACAGGAAATCATTACTTATCGAATTTACATACACTCCTTTAGAAGGGTGTATTAAGTTATTCATGTAGTTTATCATAAGTCGAGTCAAAATGCTTTCATTGACATTAGTCGAAGAGCAAAAAGTTTACATTGTCTCGAACCTTATGTCAATGAACTAAAAACATAAGAGCAGCGTGCGGCAATGTCATAAGGCAATGTTGTCATGTTGGGTGGAGACTATTATCTTGTATCCATCGGATTAGTTTTGCGGGGCGGGTCGGCACGCACACCGGTGTGGAAGGTCCCTCCCGGCCTGTAGAATGTTACACCGGCCATCCTAACTCCGGTTTCTTTTTTTTTACTAACTTTTTAGAAAAAATATTTAATTAATAATAAAAAACCGGGTGTGTTCGTGGCCGGTGGCCCCTTTTGAGGCCATAAGCGTTACCGGTCCAGGCGGCAGTGTGTAATTTCCCTAATGTACGTTGTAAAAATTGAGGTGTAAATACAGGAAAGCTCATACATGATTTCGATTCCTAACGATTTATTACGAGGTCAAGTTCGCATAGGAAAACTGAAAGTGTGAAATTAAAGTAAGACCTCCCTAAGACTAGTAAACACTAGTTTAGAGTTAGTTTAGTTAACCACATTGTTTACATAATTGGTTTATAAATACTCTAATTAATTAAAGGCTTTTTTTCAGGTTTCAGGCTCGAAAATGACATTCCCAGAACAAATGACCATATCTTCCCTTCTAAAAGGGTTAAATTAATAATCTTTTTTCTCAAAGTAATGATAAACCTGTGAGTTGGATGTAGAAAAGTCAGAATCAATATAGATGTTTTTTATTTTAAAGAAAATTCAGATTGAACATGGTAAAAAACTGTAAATTATATTATAATTATATATACGTATATATATATAATTATAATATTTTGTACTTATAGTGAAAACTAACCTTGGATGATGGGTTAGTAGACTAAAAGCTTTAGGAATCCAAAGTACAACATATAATAAGTACCCTGTATCAAGATTGATGCAAAACAAGTTATATTTGACCTTTTTAGGCAGATTTAGCAAAAAAAAACCTCTTCTGGGGCCATTTGGGTGGATTAAAGCAAACAGAATTGGGTTTGGCCTGACTACGCTTGAACTACACACATTAAATACGTTAAAACCTTCAGAAATTAAAATCCAAACACAAACAAAACTATTTACAGCAATTCAATTCTGGCCATATTTCAAAATCTCTGAAACATGATTAGTTATGTGAACACGTCAAACATAAAAAAAAGCTTCATCCAAAAAAGCACCACTAACAATAATACAAATAGTCTGCTAACTTTTATTTAATTGTAGTGGTAAATGATATGTACTTAAACTAGTCTGTTCACTTTATTTTACGTATTGTAGTCCATCAAGCCTGTTTTATACTGTGTAAATAGTGTGCAAGTAAGAGACCGTTTTAGTTCTGGAAATGTATAGAACTCACTTCACATTTATTTAGATAATGCCTCATTTACATATCTAGACATTATATTTCAGAAAATGTGCATTACAAATAAGAGCTTTGCAGTGATGACGTATCTGTGTAGTCCAACCCTTAAGGTGACAAAGGGGACAAAAAAACTATAGGTTTTCTCCGTGTGATTTTGGATTATAGCAGAAAATAATCTGTGTCAAACAAACGTTTATGGTTTTAGGACTTGTTTCTGCACCAATCTATACTAGTACTGTAATTTATCAACTGGGGGTGTTTCATGGTGATATCTGTACGTTTAAAAAGTTTAGATTCTGAAAGTCAGATGTTATGAAACTGACGAGCGAGACCAAAGGCACATTTTCTTTAGTCCTGTGCTGTGTGGAAATGGTGCTGGTAAAAAACATTATTATGGTATTTTCTTTCTTTCTTCGGTTTATGTACTCCCTGTAAACAAGAAGAAACAGAGATGTGAGAGGAGGTGTGTGTACCATGCTGGAGTGAACGGTGGCCTGCTCGATGTATCGGGCGATGCCGGTGACGAACGCATTCCGATCCTCAAAGTTGGTGTTGAAGTTCGGCTGTGGGAAGATGGGAACATATGTTACAGAAATCACAAGAGTAATATGGATATGTATATTTTACATCACAGAGAGTCATAGTGTGTCTGCTACAGATATCCAAGAACAGAGGTTACCATTTCAATTAAGGAGCAACACTAATATTACATAATTGATATCAGATGTAAACGTGTACATGGTAATGTCCACACTTGTATTTGTTAATGTCACTAATGTATCTTCTTTATCACTAGTTTGTTTGTCTATTCTTTATCCTATGTAACTGCAGCATATAAAACGTCTTTGTGCTCGTTAAAAAACGTTTAAATAATCCCAAAATGTCACATCAAGTCTATTTGTGTGCCGTAATTAACCAATGCATCTAAAGTAGATTAGTATAAAGACTGATGTCTGTGTGTAATATGATACATTAGCTCCCTGCAGCAGAGGAAGTGTGTATAGCAGTATAGCTGCAGGATATTGCAAGAAATCTGCTATTTATTTGTTGAGTATATAACAAGATATTACTTTGGATGAATAAACAGATTTTAAGTTGCATCAAGTCAAGTGTCTTCTTAAAATGTGGGTTGGAATACGACCTCCTGATTCTTCCTTGATCTCCAAATGTACAGAATTTTAAGTGCATGTTGATGATAAAAAACGGTGTGTGTGAGTGTGAGTGTGTGCGTGCGTGCGTGCGTGCGTGCGTGAGAGAGTGAGTGAGTGAGAGTGTGTGAGTGTTTCCGGACCTGGAACATGATGGATGCCGGCAGCGGCTCGATGCAGGGCTGCTGGTCCGGCAGCGGCAGCTCCTCCAGCAGATCCACGTTGGAGAGAGCATCCTCCAGAGTCACCGTGGTCGTCATGATGCTGCAGAGAGGAAGAGGAGAGGTTAGTCTGAGGAAGGAAGGGCCTTTCAAAAGCATGGCAGCCTTTCAGGTAATAACAGAACACCTTTAAAAACATACAGAGAATAAAGAGAACTAACGAAACACAGAGTAAAACTAGCGGGTGCTAGTGGAGCCTCGCAGATGGGGGCCTCAGCATCCCCTCCTTCCCGCCTCCATTCGCGATGTCTCGCTGTCTCGCAGACCCCACGCAGCAAGCAGGAAATGAACCCAGCTCACACTGTCCGCTCCTCACAGCAGCGAGCCCCCCCAACGTCCCGCCAACAAGGCACCCAGACCCCACGCAGCATTCTCATCTGTTTTTCATTACTGCCGTCATTGTAACACATAATCACTGATGTTCCGCTGTAACGGTGGTGGACTCATCAGAAAAGAGTGGGCTCACAGGGAGGGGGGGGCAGGAGCTCCAACAAGGCGTTTAGGACAGAGAGTGAATACACACATACTATAACAATGGAATTATGATCAGTGGAAATGGCCATGACATGGGACCTTTAATGTTCAAAAAGCTCTTTATTTTTCTCATACTGTCTGTGCTGCAGCACCTCTTTTCACCCTCTGTCTGAAACCAGAGCCCAGTCTGCTCTGATTGGTTAGCTAGCCGGCTCCATTGTAATTGGTCAACCGCTTAGAGATGTCCCGCCCCTTAGCCTATCACGTACAATATGGTAGAGCGCTAGCCAATAGGAGCGTAAGTGCTACATATTGATGTCAATGTGTCCCTGAAGTGAACAAAGGAGTCCAATGGAGGCATTTCAGGCAGAGGGGAGTGTGGGAGAGAAACTAATGGGCTCTTTAAACAATACTTAAATATAAATGAGTGTTTGTGTTGTCGTATACATAATATTAATACATATTGCCCCGTTCCTCAACAGGTCCAGGAGCAAACTGATGACCAACATGGATCCAGTGAAATACACCAGACCTGTTTATTGTGAACTCTGCTGCTGTTTGCATTCTCACACTGCTGCTGACAGCGAACAATCAAAAAAACGTTTGCAATCAGAATCGACAGAAACACAAAGCCTGTGGTCGTGGGGGGGGTCACTGACCCCCAGCTGCAGATAAAGGGTCTGAATAATGACATTACACACACGGTCACTTTCAGGTCATTGAACACGTCAGGAGATGAGAAACAGCTGACAGATCAACCCCACTGACTCATGGGATATATAGTATTTCAATGTAGGGCCGTGTAAGAAAATATTAAAATATATTGTCTTGTAATGGCTGTGGCTAAGTGGGTAGTGTGCTGGACTTTGAATCAGGGGATAGCAGGTTCAAACCCCACTGCAGTCAGCATGTCGTTGTGTCCCTGAGACACTTCACCCCAAATTGCTCCTGTGGGGATTGTCCACAGTGCTGAATGTATGTAAGTCGCTTTGGATAAAAGCGTCTAACAAATGACATGTAATGTAATTGTCTTTATGTTTTGTAATACTGTATCCATTCTCAATAATATGGATTTTTATTTTGCATAATAATTAACATGCATAATATGATTGTTTTTATCATATCAAATATTCAGTTTCACTTCATATTTGTTGGTGTTAAGCCTCAAAAACAACTATTTTGTTTAACACAACACACTGTTTGTACAAACTAACAAGTTATATTCAGTAGAAAGTTACTTTGGCAAATAAATAAAAATCACTTTTATTGATAAATAATCAATCAATCGTATTCAAAGCTTCATTCAAATAGAAGGATTAAGTTAAGAGAAAAGCCTTGTTGTGTCCTCCGTCACATTAAATCTGAAGTAAAATGATTATGAGTAGTGCTGGGCGGTGTACCGTTTCAAACCGAATACCGTGAACTTTATACCATATGATATATTTTTTTCCTACACCGTAACACCGTTGAAATCGTAGCGACGGGCACTTGAGCGGTGCGTCAGTGAAAGGAGTCCCCACGCTGAAATGCATGCTGGGGTTCAGCGCCAAGCGTAGCCGCATAAGATGTGAAGCTGAAGGTAAAGATGGACTTTAAAAAAATCTGACGTGGACCGAACTAACATTTATTGCAAATGCTGTCGAACTAAACGAGTGCCCGAGGAGGTAACACAAGTCCTTTACTCCAACACCTCAACAGAAAGCACTTATTGGAGTACGAAGAATGTATGAAAATAGGATCTGCTTCAACGTGGAACGCTGGTGAAATGTCTAAAGTTAAGTGGAGTCAAGCGTCGCCTGAAGAATTATTTGTTCGAGGGACTTGGAGCCCTAATTATGAGCTACAAGCCCTGACTTTCAGGTTTCATTTCAGTGTGTTTATTAGGAGAAACGTGTAGGAACTCTTCTATATCTTAATACAAAAACATTAAGACATTAACATCCTAAAATGCACTTAAACCTAAATTCAGTACAGAGCCGACACAACAGAAAATGTGACCTGACTTCCATTGTTTTTACACCAGGTAAATTAAAAGTACTGTATATGTTTATCAGCTTTAAAATGTTGACTTTTGGACTGCCACGCTAGTAGCTATCCTACACAAACAATACTTAAATATAATTCTACTTATAGCATATCATTTTAGAGTACTTGCCTTGTCTTGATCTGACCATGTGCACAAATAGCAGCTTTAAACACAACGTGCAAAATAAAACTGTGGTGTTGTGTTACTGCTGACTGACTGCAGTGATCAGTATTATCAAGTATAAGTGTTCTGCTGATGAGGGGATAAAAATAGGCGCTAAGTTGTGAAATAATGTTTTTTTAAAGAGGGAAGGAAGTCAGAAAGAAGAGCGAACTCTGTCTCGGTAATTACCCAGACAAACATCTTCTTCTTTTTGTTTGACACGAGGGGATATCAGACGGCAAATCATTAAAAGACAGACATGTGACTGAGAGAAAAGCTGAAAGTTACCAAGAGAAACAAACTGTCCTGCTTTTCCCAAAACATACATTTACAAATATAGATAGGAAATGTAATAAAAAAATTAAAAAAAGGAGCTTTGACAAACATTTGACCCGACAACTCCATTCTTGAGTTCGTCCACTTGAACTGCCTGCGCATTATTAAAAAATAAGGAAGTGGAGTGTCTTCACAGTTCCTGTTTAATCTGTATGTGTCTGCTCTTATAAGGCAAATTAGAAAAGACATGCTGCTTATAAAAGGGTTCAGAGAGCACAGCTCGAGTTTGACCGTCTGTAATCACACAGTAAGGAGCTTACACTGCTGCAGGTAGGTGAGTCAGGCTGAGGGCAAACAACCGCTAGAATCAAACCAGGAGTATTTCACTTAAGCTCCTCAGACCTTTGTGAAATCACAGGAAGGCTAACGGGGACACTTCTGCAAACTCAGGAGGAACTGGACGATTGAATCCTTGTCATTCATAAACTTTTGAGCATATAATGACTTTCCTTCAATAGAATGAAGATTGAAGCATTGATAGATAGTTATCTAAAGTTAGCACATTAAATAAGATTATAGTTATTACTATTTCCCACACACTCCCCCCCGCCCTGCCTGGAACGCCTCCGACTGCCAAGGCACACG